TTAATTGTCTCTTCCATTGCTTGGGTCACAACCACTGCTGCCTCTGTACCTGTCCTAGCCTTCCCGCCTAAAATAGTCCCCGCCAAGGGGGAAAAACAAAAAAACAATACAACCCCCCCCAAAGATCCAAACAAACACCAAAACAAAACCAGACACCCCCCCACACACACCCTGCTCCCAAATTGCCCTAACAAACTCCCACTCAAACTCTCCTGTTTACAGCTGTTTGCTGCACCGGTGTTCCTGTTCCAGTATTGACTTCCAGAGGAAAAAATATTAATAGACTGAGGCAATTTCTTCCTCAGATGAAAGAAGGACTTTCTAGACCAACTCCCCTCCCCCGCAAAAACCCCTAAGATTTGAATACATAACACTCAATTTCATCATCATTAGAATATGACTATTTTAAAAACAAAATGTTTGAAAGCCAAATAGTTCAGATGTAAGGTTCTGCAAACAACATTAACTTTGATTCAGTATCTTCTCACCATGTCTACCATGGGCCTGATTCAAAGTTCATTGATGTCAATGGGAATCTTTGAATCAGACCACTGAGGCAGCATATTGGTGCACCATGAGTATTGCTTTTTTTTTTTTAATAGCCACTTTGGGTATGGGAAAGCATGATTAGAGGAAAAAAATCGCTGCTGCCCCTAACTACTTCAAAACACAAAATTAATATTCCCTATTAACATATTAAATTCCATATAGTTATCAATGTTTACTTACAAATATTAACAATACTGAATTTCAGCATCTCAGCTGAGAGTCTGCCCACTTATTCCTTACTTTGTAAACTAATTCGGTCTTTAATTCTTCTTATATATGTTCCCTGTAAAGCGGGACGCGGATCATAAATGAATGACTAATATAGAAAGAACAGAGCTTCAGATCCCAGACTGAGTTTGCAGGGCTGGCGATTAGAAAGAACAGTTTTACTTGCAAGCTGAGCAAATGTGATATGGAGTCACTGTAAAGCAATTCCAAAAATGTCAGTTTTAAAATCACTTTTCATAGCATAGCAACAATTAAGTTAAACCTACTTATTGTCTCTTTATTCAGGTCTGAAAAATAACCTCAAATAGACTGACTCTATAATAATCCTTAGCCAGTTACAATACTTCAGTTGTGTCATGTCAATCATCTTCTTTTAAAACTAAATGATCCCAATTTATTCACTGTCTTCCTACCTAGCTGCCTCCACTCTATTGAAAAACTTGGTTGTTCTATGATGGACTGTTTCTTGCTTACCTCTATATTCACAAGTGACTAAAACTCGATACTGTACTCCAGATGCCACCTAGCCAAGGCTTTATAAAATGACTGCAGGACTTCCTTGGATTTGGTTGATATTGGATGGGTAGGAGGTCATTCTTAGATCTGTACCATATGTCAGATAAGTGTTTGTGGTCACTATTGGAAATGTACATGAGATATAAATGTAGAGAGGAAAGTGTGTTCTAGTGCATAGAGAGGAGATGGATACTGATATAGTCAGTAATTTGTGGAACCTTGATCCAAAACTTGAACTTCCTGTGTTTCAAACCTATGCTTTTCAAACCAATAGTCTAATAATGTGGTTTTACATTTTAATCTTAGCTCTTTAAAAACAATTGTCTGGAAACTTCATATTTTTAACAAAGTTATTTAAAAACACACATATGAATATCTGTTACAGATTGTGTTGGGGTTTTGGGTTTTTTTTGGATTTTTACTTTCACACTCTTCTTGAAACTGAGCAGTTTACTTGACTGAAACGTACAAACTTCATCCAGAAGGAACTCCAGCTAGAAAATGAGGGGTAGCATAGTGAACGCAGCTCTCTCACGTTCCTTTGTACAGGAAAAGGCACTGTGACAGACACTGAGCTCTAACAATCAGTTTACAGAGTCGCTAGCAACCTAACAAAACTGCTGCAGTCACATGCAGGAAAATATTTTCCTTCTCATGGCACAAACTTTTTTTAGACCAGAATCAATAGGTTATTACTGAGAACACCACTAAGGTAAGCCAGCAAAGAATGAGACAGAGAGGAACCTTAAACATTTTAAACCTTGTTAATCACCAAGATGTCAAAGTGCTTTTAACTTTTACCCTTACATGGGAAAGGATCTCAGGCTTCATATCTTCAGTTCAATTTCTGTTTTAACATAGTCTTATTCCAACCACTATTACTTATCCCATATGGCACAAACTCAGAAACAAAGTGTGTGTGTGGGGGGAGGGAGAGACAAATCAAGCACTTCAAATACCACATATGTACGCTTTAAACCAAGAACATGTGAAGGTGTCACTGCCAAGAGAAACAGGATCACATGGATCAACATGTTAGTATATGTTTTGAACTCTGCATGGAAGGAGGAAAAGCAGAAGACTGGCTACATAATTTTCCAGGATGGTGGGAAATGATTAGTTCACAGATTCTCTTGTAAAGTAACAATCCAAAATTTAAAGTTTTATTTGGTTCTTTTTTCAGCTGCAGACTAGATTACATGAGGATTTGCTACATGACCAACAAGGGAAAGGTGCAGTGCATCATTAGCACCAATTTAGAGATACATCATGATCAAAACCCCAGTTCAATAAGCACATGCTTGAGTGTGCTTTGTTGAACTGGGACCCTCACTAACGTAGGCCATTCCAGATTGCCCATCACCAGAGTAATGCAGTACTGATCTTATATGGTTGGTTTGAATACTTTTTCTAAGAAATCCCCTCATTCAGACAATGAAGTTGAAGTGATAAAGGCTTTGTTTTGAATAAGGTTTAATAAGTTATATTAGTGTTTCATAATCCATAAAACCATTCTTTACTTACTGAGCAAGTAGCATTCACAAGATTTAATTATAAAGAGCCCCAATATATCACTGTTGTTTATCGGGTGCCATAAAGTTCCTTTTAAAAGAAATGACATAAAAATAAATGTAGTAAGTCGTAAGCATGTAATTCCTATGTAGATATAAAATCTACCAAATCTACCAAAAAGTGGGGGAGACTGGAGGGAGGGGCAGGTATCTATTTAAGTCTCTTTTAGAAGGGATCTTAGGGAAGGGAACATCACCTGGTATAAAAGTGACATTTTGTCTTGTAGCTATTGAAGGGGAAAAGTTACTGGTGTATGCACTTGAATCAACATCACTTACTCACCGAGAAGCGGCTATTCCTGCGCTAAAAAAATAAACAGCATGACTGCTGCAATGATTTCTCTCCCAGGAAGGTCACTGATGTCTTCTGTTGGCTCAAAAATATGGCATGAGAGCCTGTTCCTATTCCTGGCTCTGCTATATAGTGATATGACCCTAACTCGGTGCTTTTGCTGAGTGCTGGAGGATCCTTTCACTTAATATTCTGATGGATAGGTTAATCTGACTAGGATCAGACTTCACCTTCCAACCCTGCTTAGGAGCATAACTAGGCAGCACCTAAATAATCAGTGTCACTTGCTATGCAATACATATTATTATTAATTATTATTATTCTGCCAGGATGAAATTCTCCCATGTGCAATGAGCTAGCATAAAGTGTATACAGCACTTAAGACACACTCAAAACCACAAAATAAGGCTAAAATGGGATTTAAACGGTGCATGGACTTTGTGGAGGGGCTGAAAAAACAGACTACTAGGAAACCTGTTTGAACTTTAACTATGGAAGAACTAATGCCCCTGATTTATATGGCTAAACTGGATATATCATCTCTAATTGTGTGTAATACAAATTGGACTCCCTTCAAAACACCCCCTTCTCAAGGCTTCAGTCCCTGGGAAGTGGTTCAGTGTGGTGAAGGGACTGGTAAAGGTCTTATTTCAAATGACTCTGCAGAACGTCTTGCCAAATCCTCTACAACTCTGTGTGCATGCGCAGGTACCACATACACGTGAGACTATTTGTATGTACAAAAGTCAGCACAAAGTTGCTTATTCTGATCAAAATAAATATTTTCCTGGAATTCTGTTCAAGTAAAAAATAAAAATTAAAATTAAAAGGTCCCTTATGATTCCTATGGATCAAAGAAGACTGTCGGTACATTATATCCAATATACATTAGCCAAACACAGTTATAGGCATCAGTACTCCTGCGCCTGTGCACCTATATAGGATTTTAGTTCTTCCATTCACACAAACCAAAACACAGACAATCCAAACAGTCAACCAATTCCAACAATTCCTAATAATAACAACAAGCAGAGGAAACTTGAGCATGTTCTCTTCTGTGATTCACCTGTAAGTATATCTGTTTCCTAGCGCCTCTGAGATGCATGAGCTCTAACTCTTTGGTTATATTAGTAGATTTTAAACCGTACAAGTAAATTGTTTCCTTGACAAATAAGTTATTCAAGTGGCTCATTCAGTAACAAGTGCACAAACTACTGAAGAGGCACAATCTGTGTGTAATAAAAAGTAGTTAGTTGTGCTCAATCATACCGGTTGAAGTACCTATTGGTTTCAGATGGATGAGCCTAAATACCCTCTCCATTGTCATCAGATCAGGAATGCATGTCATTTTCCTCTGCCTGGTAAGGATAATTTGTTCTATAATAGCATAAATAACATTGGTAAAGTAACTGCTGAAATTCTCTAGGTGGTTAATGAAGCAGAACCTCTCGTTCTGAGTTGAGTTCACCCTGTGCAGAGGGCCATCACTAACGCCATGCACCACTTCAGTTCCACTTAAATCCCATGGATGAAATCCCAGGCGCACTGAAGTCAATGGAAAATTCCCATCGACTTCAATGAGGAGAGGATTTCATCCAAAGCCTTAAATATGACTTATGTGCTGGCTCTATGCACAGGGCTAGATTTGTCCCTTTGCTTGTAGGAGTCTCATGTTCATTTTGTAAAGGACAGTTAGTGTGCAAGAAACTGATAAACACCTTAAGTGAAATTGATACTAAACAGCATGTGCCCCATCCACACTTACTTTACTATAGGCAGGTAAAGATTAGGTCAAGCCCAGAGGTACAGTGTATCTTCCTGAAATAACATGATCAATTTCTTACTTTTTCTTGATCTGGAGAAAAACTTGATGCCACCGGGCGAGGTAGACGGGTTAGAACTGGGAGAGGATTCTTTGGAAGAGGACCTGAAGATCCCACTGAAGCTCATTCGGCGTGGGGAGCGTGGGGGAGACTCCTGATATGGGAAGGGGAACACTGTTTTTGGTGAACCTGGGCTATGTTTAGATCTCACAGGAGCAGAAACGGGGCTGGAAGGTCGATTTTGGAGCCCTTTTGAGAAAAGGCCTTTCGAAGGGCTGCCCGTATGGTAGCTCTCTTCCACCTGAGGAGGGAAAAGAAAAACAAAACATTAATTCAACCCAGTGTGTTCCCTTAAAAGTCTCAGAACCTGCCTCTGTGGGTATGTCCATGCCACAGCTGGGCGTTGGGATTCCCACTGTGGTCAGACAGACTTTCACGAGCTCAGCTCAAGCAAGTGTGCTAAGAATAGCAGTGTGGATGCTGCGGCACGGGCAGTGGCTCAGGGTAGTGACCCGAGTCGAAGCCCACCTGAGCCCGGGTTCCAAGCATGAGCTGCTTCCCGTGGTGCAATGACCACAAGTCTGTCTACCTGGCTGGGAATCAGCACTTCCGAGCTGCACTGCAGCCGTAGCTTGTGAAGTCATTAATCTCCTTACAAGGAAATGAACAACCCTCCCAAACATTCTCAGTGCAATTACATACGTGTCTAAGTGTCCAAAAACAACAATTGGGGTGAAATTCACCCCTGTACAAAGGGCCAGCACACAGCTCAGTGGGACTGATTTGGTGAATAGGACTGGTGTGGCCCTCAGCACAGGGATCTATGTCACCCCAACTGCATAGGCTCAGAGGAAAAATAAGACAAAAAAAATCCCATACAACTGTTGGGGGAGGGGGAGATTTTCTTATGAATAAAATATTTTGATCTTGAAAAGAGAGAGCAACAAGATTCTTGCTCTCCGCATTTGCTAGCGGACACCACACATGGACAAAAGTGAGTTTAAGTGCTAGGTTCATCTGTCTGAAGTGAGTTGTATTGAGTTCCAAACCCCTTGCATGCCTGTTCCTTAACTCTCACTTGCACCTGGTAAACAAAGGGTAAAGTTTTAGGCAGACAACATGCAAATCTGCCATCTTAAGCAAGATCCTCTTATAAGGTGCTTAGCTACATGTTCTCCTCTAGAACTTACACCTGCTGAGTAGCCAGGACTAACATAGCAGTCAAATAGCAACGCTCTGATTACCATAGGATCGGGCTACCCCACAACTCCTGTCCTGCTCATCAATTTATACTTTGTGCCAGTTCAATCTTCTCACCTGCACAATGTAGGATCATACCGTAAACTTATGACCTGATCAGGGACCTATTGTGTTGCAACTGTACAAGCCCATACAATAACTCCTCGCTTAACCTTGTAGTTATGTTCCTGAAAAAATAATACTTCAAGTGAAACAATGTTAAGCGAATCCAATTCCCCCATAAGAATTAATGTAAGTAGGGGGGTTAGGTTCCAGGGAAATTTTTTTTGCCAGACAAAAGACTATACATATTATACATATATACATATACATATATACATATACACACACACACACATATATACACAGTATAAGTTTTAAACAAACAATTTAATACTGTATACAGCAATGATGATTGTGAAGCTTGGTTGAGATGGTGGAGTCAGAGGGTGGGGTATTTCCCAGGGAATGCTTTACTGCCAAATGATGAACTAGCACTTGGCTGAGCCCTCAAGGGTTAACATGTAGCCTCACGCTCTACAAGGCAGCATGAGTGGAGAGAGGAGACATAATATAGGCGTGGCAGTGGCTGCAAACATTCCCTGCGGAAACTGAATGTGATGATGAACCCACACTATCCCACTGGAGCGCACCACTCCCTCCAAAGTGCTGGGGGCGGGGAGGTGTGCATGTGTGTGCGAGAGAGAAGCGCATTGTCTCTTTAAGTACGTTGACCCCACTCTAAGTACATTGCCTTTTTAAGTAGATCAGCAAGTTGAGACAACAGCTGCTGCTGGCAAGCTCCCTCTGTCCTGAGCCCTGTCTCCGGTCATGTCCCTTCCCTGCTCTGTGGAGATGGGATACAGGACAAGGGGTAGGAGCGGGGTGAGGGGGACACCCTGACATCAGCATCTCTCTTTCCCTGCATCCCCGGCACAGCAAGCTGGAGGCTCCCAGGAGCAGCTCCAAGGCAGAGGGCAGGAGCAGCACATGGCAGTGTGGGGAGGAACACCTGAATGCTCGGTAATTGATAGCCTGCTGGGCGGCTGTCCACAGGGAACTTAGGAGAGTTGATGGGGGTCTGCCGGTCCACCCTGGTTCCAAGCCCCCACCAGGTAGCTCCAATGGGCTGCTCTTCCTGCAAGCAGTGGACAAAGCAGGCGGCTGCCAAACAACGTTATAAGGGAGCATTGCGCAACTTTAAACGAGCATGTTCTCTAATAGATCAGCGACATAACAACATTAACCGGGACGACTTTATGTGAGAAGTTACTGTACTCTCTGGGAATGGTTTTTCAACCAGTTATACAGCTACCGTATAGTAGCTCCATCTAGGTTGTGTTTCCTTAGTTTATGAGAACGTCACGTGAGACAGTATCAAAAGCCTTACTAAAGTCAAGATATATCACATCTACTGCTTCCCCCCGTCCACAAGGCTTGTTACCCTGTCAAAGAAAGCTATTAAGTTGGTTTGAGATGATTTGTTGTTGACAAATCCATGCTGACTTTTACTTATTACCTTATTATCTTCTAGGTGTTTGCAAATTATTTGCTCCATTATCTTTTTGGGTACTGAAGTCAAGCTGACTTTACATAAGACGTAACCGCTATTGTTAGAATTGGAATTGCTCATTTATGAGCATAAACTTGACCTAGTTGGCATTACTGAAATCTGGTGGAAAGATTCATACAATTGGAATGCGAGATAATGGTTATGGTCTATTTAGGAAGGATCGAGTGGGCAAAAGGGGATGGGGAGTGACATTCTGTCCAATATAGCGTTTCCTGTTTCCACTGGAAAATTGGAAGCAAATGATCTTGAATTCATATGGATTAATATTCTGACAGATAAAGTACAAGATGGGATACCAGTTGCTATCTGCTACAGACCACCAAATCACACTAGAGAACAGAATGATCGGCTTGTTAAGCCGTATCTGTAACGTGTAGGGGAGGGGAAAAAAAGCATTATCATGAGGGACTTCAATCTGAGCAACATATGCTCTCATGCTTCCAGTACTAAAATATCCTTATAATTTCAAAAAGCTTTAGAAGACAATTCCTTAACTCACAAAGTATTGCATGCAGCAAAGGGGGCTTCTATGTTAGACCTTATCTTGACAGATAAAGAGGAATTGACCACAGAACTAAAAAATAGTGATACCTTGGGTACAAGGGATCATAAGGACTTGATTACATTTGTATTGTGCAAACAGAATAAAGTCCAAACCAGTAAGATGTATATTCTTGGATCTTTAAAAGGGCCAATTTCACACAGCTGAAAACAACTATGAGCCAAATCAGTTGAGAGAGAATTTAAACAGAAAATTGTGAATGAGAATTTGAATGGTTTAAGAAATGTTACTAGATGTCCAAAAAGCCACAATGAAGTAAGGGGGCACTGCTGGTTAAAAAATAAAACAATACAAAAGACTTGGCTTAGAGGGGAAGTGAAAGCAGCTTTACAAATTTTAAAAATACCTGTAAAACAAATAGAAGAAAGGGGAAGTGATAGCAATGAATAAGGTTAAGACTGTATCACGGTTATTTTTAGTAAAAGTCACGGACAGGTCACGAGCAACAAGCAAAATTCATGGGAGCCCGTGACCTGTCTATGACTTCACTAAAAATAACAGGGGGGCAGGGCTGGGGCGGGGGGAGGAATGACAGCTGGAGCCCCATAGGGTTGGACTGACAACCTGAGCCCCACCGCCTTTGTGGGGGTGAGGGCGGGGAATAGCCTCGGCTCCAGCTCTGGCCACAGACTCGGGAGGTGGTGGTAGGCAGCCCCGGCTGCAGGCATGGGGCGGGGCTAGGGTGACCAGACAGCAAATGTGAAAAATCAGGACGGGGGATGTGGGGGGGGGGTAATAGGAGTCTATATAGATAAAGACCCAAAAATAGGGACTGTCCCTATAAAATCGAGACATCTGGTCACGCTAGGTGGGGCACAGCCCTGGCTCTGGCCCAGCCACAGATGCGGGGGAGGGTATGGCAGCCACGGGGTAGGGGTGCACAGTCCCGGCTGAAGCCACAAGGGTGGGGAGGGGTGCACAGTCTCGGTTCCAGCACCAGCTGCAGGGCAGGGGCATGCAGCCGCGGCTGAAGCTGCAGGGAGGGAGTTGGGATGCACAGACTTCGCTCCAGGGCAGGGGGGGAGTGGTGCACAGACCGTCTCTAGCCTCAGCTGCGGGGCAGGGGCACACAGCTGGGGGGGGGGGAGCGCACAGCCCCAGCCCCAGCTGCTGACAGCTGAAACCGGAAAAGTCACGGAGGTCCAGTAAAGTCACAGAATTCATGACTGTCATGACTAAATCATATCCTTAGCAATGAATATAACTCAGAAGCTAGGAATTGTAGAAAATTAATATGGGAGGCAAAAGAAGACGCAAGAAAAAATTAATGTCCAGCAGAGTTATGGATAAGAAGAGAGGATTTGAGTATATTAAGAGCAAAAGGGATCCTAACAATGGTATTGGTCCATTACTAGATGGAAATGGTAGAACTGTCTATAATAATGCAGAAAAGGCAGAAATGTTCAATAAATATTTGTTCTATATTTAGGAAAAGGATGATGATGATGAAGTACTTTCCATTTCAATTGTAACTAAGGAGGATATTAAGTAGCAGTTACTAAAGCTGTATATTTTTAAATCTTAAAGTCTGGATAATTTGCATCCAAGAGTTTTAAAAGAGCTGACCAAGGAGCTTGCTGGACCATTAATGATGATATTTGCCAAGTCTTAGAACACTGGGGAAGTTCCAGATGAGTGCAAGAAAGCTAATGTGCCAGTATTTTAAAGGGGTAGCCAAGATAACGTGGGTAATTATAGCTCTATTAGCCTGACATCGATCCCAGGCAAAATAATAGAACGGCTGATACTGGACTCAATTAATAAAGAATTTAAGGAGGGTAATATAATTAATGCCAATCAGCCTGGTCTATTGTAAAATAGATCTTGTCAAACTAACCTGATATTTTTTACCAGATTACAAAGGCGGTTGAAAAAGTGGTGTGTGTTCAGGTAATATTCTTAGACTTCCACAAGGCATTTGACTTGG